TCAGCCCGCCTTGGGCTGCGTCATGCTGGATTCGATGCAGATGTGCAGGGGCAGGAGGGCCTGGGAGCAGACCGGGCCTACACCCAGGGGAGCGGCTATTAGTCACCCTGGTGGAGAGGGGAGGAGGGAGGGCAGGGCAGCCCAGCTGGAGGCGGCCAGGGATGCAGGGTGGAGCGCAGTGAGGACTTCCAGCCCTGGCAGCTGGACAGCGTGTCTGTGCCGGCCAATGCAGAGAGGCCTTGGGAGCGCTCCTCGCGACACCCCTACCTGACGTTTCCTGCGGCCCGGAGCCCACACTGTGTTCTGGCCTCCTGTGCTGGCCGCACGGATGGTTGTGTCCAGCTTGGCCAGAGGGCAAAGGGGCCGGTGGGAGGCCAAGGGACAGGGACACTCTGGGTTCTGGCACACACACACACACACACACACACACACACACACACACCCGCCTGGGGTCTTTTCTCCAGACGCCTGCTCTGTCAGGCTCTGCAGGTGGCTACAGAGGTGACAGTCCTGGTCCGGCTCAGGCGGCGGTCACAACCACGTGGGTGGTTCTGTACAGAGCCGGGGGCTTCCACACCCTGAGGCAGCTCAAGGACCGTCCCTGCCCCGCCTCAAACCCTGAGTCTTGTGGTCAAGTCAGAAAGATTCAGGCTTGTCACTCAGAGTAGGGGGCATGAGTTTACCAAAGGGGCAGGGAAAGGGAGCAGGGACACTCTCAGAGGAGAGGGGGTCCTCTCAGAGAGGAGAGGGACAGCGTGCCACTCCTGCACTCCAGTGTTGTTGCAGTCCAGAGAAAAGTCCCACCCAGGTCCACCTCTTGACTTTTGATTGACAGCAGGATGACATCAGACTTTCCAGTCCCCACTGCCATGACCACTCTGGTCACCTTGTCTCACGCTGACTAGTAGTAACTGGATTTCCTTTCTGGGGCGGGGTACTGAGGATTGAACCCAGGGGCACTCGGCCGCATCCCCAGCCCTGTTCTGTGTTTTATTTAGAGACAGGGCCTCACTGAGCTGCTAAGAGCCTCGCCTCTGCTGAGGCTGAGTCTGTATCTGTGATCCTCCTGCCTCAGCCTCCCAAGCCACTGGGATTACAGGTGCACCACTGTTCCTGGCTCTCATTGGATTCTTAACATAAATCATTTCAGATTTTATGGTGAGGAAGAACGATCCTTAATATCCTGAGTTCCTAGATCTGGTCACAGGGCAGGCTTATCGACATGATTTTGCGCCTGCATTTCTCCAGCAGATAACAGTGCTGGGGACTGTGTCTCCTCGTGGGTCCACTCCAGCCAGCAGGGCTGCAGGAAAGTGCTTCTGACAAAGAAGGCTCGTGTGGGTCAGCACGTGGGCCACTCACAGAATGAGTCCCTCCCTCCTGCCCCCACCCCGGCGCCTGTCCCCTCGCCGTGCAACACCAGCAGCTGTTTCTCCTGGTTCTGGACTGGACGTCCGAGGTGGGGGTGCCAGCAGGCCCGTGTCTGGGGAGGGTGGTGGGTGGCCACTTTCTCCTTGTGCCTTGACGCAGCAGAGAGAGGACAGCGCTGGGTCTCCTCCTGCAGGCCCACGTCAACACCAGCCCCCGGGGGCATAGATGCCCGTGTGTGGACGGGGACGCAGACATTCAGTCTATGGTGGCGGGTTCTGATTCTGAGCTGAAGGGACACGTGTTGCGAGGCCACCAGGTTCTAGAATTGAGGCCTCTCCTGCACCCCAGCCTTGTGTCCCCAAGTCTCAGGAGATCCTCGTGGGTGGTTACCAGAGAGCAGGCCACCACTGAGTGCCTGGTGACGTGAGGCAGACGGGGCGAGAGGGAAGAAACAGGCAGGTCATGGGTGGACGGTGCTGGCCGTAGCGCCCCTGCTGCTCCCGGCCCAGGGGACAGGCTGCCCCACCACGCAGCACAGGCCCAGGACAGAGCTGGAGGTTCAAGTGCAGCCACCATTGAAACCCAGTGGACAGTGGGAAGGTAGGGACAAGGGCCTCTGACAGAGAGGGCAGGAAGCCAGACAGGCAGAGGCTGGGCGTGTGGCCAGCGGGACCCCAGCCAGAGAGCCCAGGCAGGACGGGGCAGAGCCTGTGGTTTGGGGGGTTGGGTGTCCCCCGTGGCACCCTGCTGAGATTCAGTCACCACCGTGAGCGTCAGGAGGATGGAAAGGCTACCCGGTGTTGAGCGTGGGGCCTTTGGAGGGATCAGGATTAGACGAGGCCACAGGCTGGGGCCCCTATGACCCATAGGGGGTTTATAAAATAGGGAGGGAGACCAGAGGTCACACACGCACACACACACACACACACACACACACGACATGGGCTTCTCTGTGCTGCCTCAGGACTCTGCCAACAGGAAAGCCATGACCAGAGGCAAGCCCTTCACCTTGGACCTCCAGAACCGTGAGCCAAAATAAACCGTTTTATAAGACAGCCTGCCTTGGTGGTTTTGTGATAGTAACCCCAGGCTGCCTGACACAGAAGAAATAACCAGAGAACCGGAGTTTCTGAATTGAAGGGATGTGAATTTTCAGGCCAAAAGGTCCAGTTGAAAAGGAGCCACAACCATGAAGAGTAACAATGAATTAAAATATTGTGAGTTTCAGAACACGAAAGGGAAAAGAGGGAGACTCTTAAATCTTTCTGAGGAACATCTCCCTCATCCCTGAAAACGAAGTTGTCACCAGGCCCCCCACGGGCAGGTGGAGATGCTGGAGCGGGTGGGCAGCCCCAGCAGTGCCCTCAGGAGGTTTTCTGCCGAGGATTTCATCCCCAGCCAAACTGTCCACGGGGCATGGAAGTGGATGGAGGTCTTCAGGCTCCCGGGGACGGGAGGTACGCCCTCGAGCCTCCTCCAGGACATGCGTCAGCAAAGTGAGGAGGACCCAGGAGCTGAGCGGGGCTGGGCCCCAGCAGGCTCTCCAGCTCTCAGGACGAGGGGACAAAGCCTGGTGGCGAGCCAGCAGCCCAGAGGACAGCAGGAGGGCTCTGGAGAGGGGACCCTCAATGAGTGAGAGACATGTTGGGGTGGAGTTGTGCCCCGGAGATCAGCTGAGGCCACCTATGCCGAGCCTGAGGCTGCCGTCATAGGATCAGGGTGGCCCTGGTCCAGCCACAGGAGAGGGGCACATGACCCCAGGCTCCCGGGCAGAAGGGGCCGTCCGTGGCGCTGAGGGTCTCTGGCTCCTCAGCCGCTCAGGATGGTGCCCGGTGCCCCGCCAGGCGCAGGGACATGCCGTGGGCGCTGCTCTGTCTAGGCCTGGCCTGGGAACCCTCCCGCCCGGCACCATGTGGGAGATGTCAGCCTTTTGCTCCGGGCCATCGTGGATCAACTTTGTTCTGCTGTGAGAGGCAGCGAGAATGGTGACCATGACCCCAAGCACCGCTGACAGCGCTTCCAAGGGGCTTGCACTGAGAAGGAGCCAACCCGGAGCAGAGCCCAGCTCCACCCAGGCCTGGGCTGCCCGCCGACTCCTGCGGCTGAGAGGCCCGAGGGGCATGGGGGGCGGTGTGTGGAGGGGACTGTGACACCCAGGTGCTCCTCGGGGCTCCCTCACCTGCACACACGCATCCTGCAGGGCTTTGGTTTCCTTTGCGGGGACTCCACAAGGCCCAGCGATGTGGCGGGAGGCGCCTGGGCCTGCCCCCTGCCTGGTCTCAGGCCCTTCCCGGGCCGCCATCACCACGGGGAAGCAGAGGCCGCCCGCAGTGCTTGGCTGGGAGGGTTCGCCCCACAGCTGCCAGGAAAGCAGAGCCGTGTCGAAACCTCCTCCGCCGGGAGCCAGAGAGGGCTCTTGTCCTCTCAAGTGGCCAAATAAATACGGGCTTCAAAGCCCTGGCTGGGGGCCATGGCATCTGTTTTGCAAGCTGTGGTTTAGTACACAGCTTGGATCATGAATCACTCTGGTTCTTATGGAGCTTTCTTTAAACGTGGGCTTTTAAGAGAGGCCTGAGAGAGGACGACCCTTCCAAGGCACACCCCAGTGACATCCTCCCTCCACTTGGGCTCAGCCGTCCATTCAGCCAACAGCAGATCGATCCACTGCTGAGGTCAGAGCCTCGTGATCCAGTCACTACTCCCCCCGTCCCCAGCACGCA